GGAGTCTGTCATCACCTGGGTGATCCTGTTGTGGTTGGCCAGGAACATGGAGAGGTTCTGGGACTCCTGGATGGACTGGGGGTCAGCCATCTTCCTCAGGAACTGTGCCGCCCTGAGACAGAGACCGGCGCTGTGAGCGAACTGTTCAAATGACGTGGCTAAACCACGCTCTGCCCCAAGAGCCACGCTATAAAGGATGTGTAATCCACAGTCATCTGCTTGGGGTCATTGATAGCCTTCTGATAAACAAACAAGCCAAATCTACTGCCCAAGTCAACCGGGACTCATAGTGACCCTACAGGCAGAGTAGAGCTTTCCCTTGGGTTTCTAAGATTGGAAACCTTTATGCATACAGAGAGCCTCATCTTTTTCCCATGGAACGGATGGTGGGTTTGAATCGGCAACCTTGCTGTTAGTATTTCAATGTCCAACCCACTGTACCACCTCCTGAGATAAGGGAATCTGAAATTAAAAGGCAAGGAAGCCCCTGAGAGCTATGAAGGTCAAACTCAGAGAGCGTAAAGGCAATGAAAGCCACGTGTGGAGCCAGCCTTGACTCATAGGGACCACACGTGTGTCAGAGCAAAACCGTGTACCCTGGGCCTTTAACGGCTGGCTTTTTTGCAGTAGATCACCAGACTTTTCTTCCAAAGCACCTCTGAATGGACTGGAACTTCCAAGCATCAACACGACCCAGGGGCTCCTAAAAGCAATTGTGTGGTGCCATGAATTCAATTCCGACACTTTGTGACTCTTCATGAGAGCGAAGAACTGCCCCACAGGGTTTCTCGGCTCTGATCTCTAAGAGAACTGAGAGCCAAGTCTTTCTCCTGGGTGGATTTGAACTGCCAGCCTTTGGGTTAGCAGCTGAGCAGTGAACTGTTGCACTCTCTGGGCTCCATAAAAAAGCCCAGAGTGGTGAACCCCCTCACCCGCCCCACCCTCCGTGCCTTTCGACCCCCAGCGAGGGTGCCCAGTGCTTTAACTGTGTATGTTGTGGAGAAGAATCCTGGGTAGGATGCTTAGTTCTGTCACATGGTCTGTGTTCTATAGGGAACCCTAGATGCTCATAAAGGGAAATACAGTAGGAAATGCAAGCGTCTATCTGTTAAAGGGATACAGATGAAGGGATGATGAGTGTCAGGGGCACGGATTGGTCTTAGAGAGAGAGACCTGTAGGACAGATGCCCATATCCTACATGGGAGATGGTGCAGACCGAGTTTGAGGCCACGAGGAAGGCAGCAAGTCATCAACAACCCTGCAGCCGGCTGGAGCTGGTGCCTAGAGGAAGCGGGTTGCGGTGGGGATGGAAGTGGCTGGGCCGGGAGCCCTTTGGAGAAGACAGTCCATCATGTGCTGTGTATGAAATCTTTATGCGAGCTGTCATTCCTGCAGCAGGCCCGCCTGGCTGCGAACCCGGGGCTTTATAGTTTATCAGGGGGATACGGTGGTGAGAGCCACCCCGTTTCTCTGCTTCTGCAGTTACCTTGATATCCAGGAGGGGGCGGCTCAAGGAGGATGATCCCTCTGTCCCAGGGACACAGACATTTAACCAGATGCCCTGCAGCTCCGCTCAGCCTTAACCAATGTAGAGGCCCTCTGTCACTTCTGCCTGCCCTGTCCCATTGGGTGACTGCATCTTGACTTTGTATGAACAGTGGCTACCCCCCCCCCCC